CGCATCGGAGGAGTCTTCAGTTTTGGACGTCCTTCGTCGCGGCGCTGTGACGTACGCGGTCGACAAATTCGGCCTTCGGAGGACCCGTCCTGTTGTTTTGGACACAGCCGCTGACTATCTTTAAATTGCTTCCTGGTACAACAGTCGGCTCTGGAAGGATCGCTTTTTTCTTTTTTTTTTCTACTTTTTTGAAGCGAGTGGTTGAAGCAAATGCAGCATAAGAGCCCCCTGGTGGCTGAAGAAAAAAATCCACGTATAAGCCGCACCGGACTATAAGCTGCATGGTTCAAAGTTCAGGAAAAAAGTCACGGCTTATAGTCCGAAAAATACGGGTATGATTATGTTTTAATTGCACACAGTCCTGATTAAATACATTATAAARATGTATTTTATTGTATTTAGAATTTGTTTTGTTTTTAGATGAAATGACTGTTAATTCTAAGAAGTTGTTTTGTCCAAACGTTTTATTTGATCACAGTTTTAATACAGTCTTATTGCAGTTCTGTAAAACTGGTATCCATGTTAAACTGCTGACTGGTCAGGGCTCACCTGTGACAGGTGAGGAACACCGTGGACAGGTCACCTGTCCATCCCAGGGACACACACAACAGACACACACACACCCAGTCATAATGTAGAGTTACTGACCTGATAAACAAGTTGTTGATCTGTGGGAGGGACCTGCACTAAACAGAGCAAACACACACACCTACACACACCTACATACACCTACACACACCCACACAATTAGCTACTAGAATTTGAACCAGCAACTTGATTGCAGCTCAAAGCACCGCTCTTAGTAAAAATCACTTCATCACCTCTGACACAACACAATTAGTTCAGCAGTTACACAACTTCCTCCTGACTTGTGTACAAAAAGAAGCATTAAGAGTACATGTATTTTTCTGAATATTAGCTAGATTCATTCATACTTCCTGTTCTGTGTATAAAYGATCTGTCTTTATTTCTGCGTGGCCCTGGGACAAACTGTACACGTCCCACAGACGGCTGAAAACATTTTTAAAACATTTTGTCAGGTCTGGAGCGTTCCAGAAGGTCTTTATCAATTTATATATTTTTAATATTTTTAAAACGTACATGCTGTGTTTTGAAAACTGAATATTTATGAGTGAAAGTGTTGGTGTAGAAGCGTACACTGTGCTCGGTTCATTGGGACGTATAAAGAAAGGAGCCCAGAAACATGCCTGAACAGAAATCTGACAACTGTAGTTTTAAACATCTGTTTCCTACAGATGTTTGTATGAAAGCTGGACTCTTTGACTGATGATGCTCCTTTTAGACACTTCACTTTTATAATTCATGAGCTTTCTATAACCTCTGATCATCATCATCATCATCATCAGTCCCTTCAGAGCAAAGCAGGAGGAAATGAGGACAGGAGAACTTGTTTGTAGCAGCAGAGCGGGTTGGAAATGATTATTTAATGTTTTTTATTGTTTTACTTTGCAACTTACAGGTCCTGACATGTTAAATAAATATGACACTGAGTTAATGAAAAAATCTGAGATGGGCTGTCGTTTGTAAAGTTACAC